TATCTCAATTATAAATTAAGACTCTTCTCAGTAAGACTGCTATTAGCTATTCGCAAGCAAAGCCTTTTATTAAAATCTCACAAGTTACACACCATTACTTCACACAATGCAACAAAAACCACCAAACAGAAACTGAGCCATTTCCTATTTATAGTTAGGGGTTCTTTACAAGGCAAGTGCTACTAACAGATGGCAAATCATCTTGAATTCTTCTGCTCAAATCTGATCAATGAACACTAAAAAGTATATTTGCTGTTAATGGAGAAGGGCAATGGAGCAGTAAGTAAAATAAATATCCCCTCTAAGAGCCTTCTGTGACTATAACTAGTTTCACAATCTCAGAAAACCTTCTTAAAACTTAATGCAAGTTAACTAGCTTCATTAGGATAATAAATACTTCTTTCCACTATCTTGAAAACCATTATGTTCTCTGGAAAGTGTTTTGTGACTGAATTTTAAACCAGACGGATGACTACCAACAGTCTAAGTGAAGTCTGAATTTAGAGGACCACCACCATTCTGCAAGCATATCGATGAGCGAGTCTCAATATTTAGTGCCACCAGATAATACTGAAATAGCAGGAACAACAGGACCAGCTTTGGAGTCCCCAACACAAAAAGGACACTGAAGTGCTGGAGCATGTGCAGAGGGCCACAAAGATGATCAGAGGGCTGGAGCACCTCTCCTATGAAGACAGGCTGAGAGAGTTGGGGTTGTTCAGCCTGGAGAAGAGAAGGCTCCGGAGGGACCTTATAGCGACCTTCCAGTACCTGAAAGGCGCCTACAAGAAAGCTGGGGAAGAGCTGTTCACTAGGGCATGTAGCAATAGGATGAGGGGTAATGGTTTTAAACTAGAAAAGGGTAGATTTAGGTTGGATATTAGGAAGAAGCTCTTCAACATAAGGGTGGTAGATCACTTGAACAGGTTGCTCGGAGAGGTGGTGGAGGTCTCATCCCTGGAGATATTCAAGGTCAGGCTTGATGGGGCTCTGAGCAACCTGATCTGGTAACATTGTCCCTGCTTACTGCAGGGGGGTTGGACTGGATGATCTTTAAAGGTCCCTTCCCACCCAACACATTCAGTGATTCTATGATTCTGCTACTTCTCCAGCTGGCAACATCACAGCAGCAGACCAACAAATGCTACTAAGCTAAGGTTCCCAATATACAAGAAAATGAACTTTAACTAGGACTTGAGTTTGGAAGATAGACTTTGGAGATTCTGAAAAGATCACCTATTAGGAAGGCACCAGAAGACAGAGTTACTGCTTGAAGTTCACAAAAATGTGATTTTTTGCTTAGGGTTACACAGAGATGTGCAGAGCCTCAGTGAAGCAGCAGATTTATCCCTTGTACAAAAGCAGCCAGGCCACAGAAATATTAGTAGGTTACTGCTGCTTACATTACAAAATTGTATTTTAAAAAGACTGTCAAACTGGGATACACATGCTTTTTATGTGGAAAACAGCAGTATTTAAGATGTCAACTGTCCTATTTCAACAAACACGCACAACATCCTTAGAAATACCAGGCACACTTACAGATAGGCAAAGAATTCAGATTCACACTTATAGCCCAAAACATAAAGTAATTTGAATACAAATCCATTTTGGATTAAACACAGGAGATTTTATCCAACATCCTGAGTCAGAGCTGTTAAGGTCAGTTAGTCAATTCACACATCAGAGAGTGAGGATAATTCAGTGCTTTTTTGCCTACACATTAAGCAATGACTACGTGCAGCAGCATTAACATGGTTTAAACAGGCTGTGTCCTGAGAAGAAAAAGATATTTTTAAATACCTCATTTTGGACACTTAAAACAAGGTTAAAATATCAGCTGCAACTTCCATACCAGCAGCTCAGGTGAGGTCTTGCACAATTCCCCCATGTGACAAAGCAGCACCCTAAGCTAACCCAAAGCCTTCATTAAAAACAGGCCACATGATAGACACTGAAAAGTACTCTCATCTCTGGAAATGAGAGGTTTTAAGAACTGATTCATAAAAGGCGTTCAGGTTACTGAAAGACTATTAACACAAGCCTAAATAGATCCAGACATTTATACGCCTAAAACTATACATTCTAGAGCAAATACTATTTCACAGTCTCTATAAGCTTATTTTGCTGCTGATACAGCAGAACTGAATTTGCTTAATGCTTTCAGCATTTCACAAGTTGTTAACATCCAAAAATAAATGAAGCATAGCTTAGTAAGTCACCTCAGAGAGAGGATACTTAATGCTGTTCTCAAAGGGTGGTACTCCAAGGACAATCACAAGAGAGGGTGCTTTTTGTCAAATTGGTATGATTTACTTTGAAAAGTGAATCTAGTCCAAAATTCAAGTTCATTCCTGTCCAAGTGAATCAACTTACAAGCCGTATTTATTTTTATAATAAGCATTCCATCTTTCCATTCTCCATGTTGTTATACATGCAGCAAGGTACCCACCTGTCTTAACTCCTGTACTTCATCCTTTAATGCATATACTGTGTCAACAAGACTTCTAAAATGAAAAAAAGAGATGTGTTACAACAGTTTTCAGAAATACATGTCTAAATTTATTATTAGACAAAACTGTTAAATGAAGTGCATTTAAAAAACCCAAAAACCATAGCTAACAGCTAATTTTAAACTTGTGTTTAAAAAAAAAAAAGTCTCTTATCCTGACTTATATTCTGTAAGGCAAGGACCTATTACCACCTTCTGTGGCAGGATACACCTCTCAAGCACACAGGAACCTATACTGCTTTCTGTATTACAGCTTTCTGTAACAAAACTGTAATCCACTTCCAACGTACACCTTACCAGAAAAACAGAATGACGGCACACACTAAGTAGAAAGATGACACCATTTTAATATGGAAATCCTACAGCACTTGGAAAACTTATAAGTGAAATATATCCCTTCTTGGCATGGAAGGAGTAAGTTGCAAAGTATATAGAAAGAAACCAGACTACAAGCATTTAAATGAAGGCCAACTGCACTGGCAGCATACTCCAAACAGCTCTGCTTCCTACTACAAAAATATCATACACACACTGCTATCATGGGAGAGGGGAGGAGGAAGAATAGTGAAGAACAGTGCACAGTTTACTGGTTTAATCCATCATTCATTAAATGTTCTCTTACTTCTCTTCTATAACAGTCTGACCATTACTTTTAGTTTCTTCTACAATAATTTTTTCTTCTTCTGGCAGCAGGACTTGAGGAGCTGATTCTTTACGGGAACCTGTTGTAAGAATAAATTACAAAATGAGCAACTCGCAAATACTGCTGGGGCATTTTAAAGATCATTATTTCATTCATTGCATGATACACCTGCATCACCAAGGTGTATCACCTTCCATTTCCCCCTTCCCTCCACACACACAAGTTACTGACACTTTTTTTTTTTTTACATTTGAAACCACAGCCTTACAACAACAAAAAGTTGTCTGACGTTCCTATCCTGCTGCTGACAACTCCTGTGTCATTGATGGGGATGCTACACAGTTCAATGGACAGTTAACACCGTTCAACTATCAGTAAAAGCAACACAAGTTCACCATAGCTGACTCTGAAATAGATGCATTTAAGTAACAGTGATTTAAGCCTCAAGGACAGATTCTGATCTCACGCTGATACAAATCCCAGAAATAATTCCACTCTAAACCAATCACTATCAGTAAGGAGAATAGTGGTATCAAGTGATGGAAGAAAAATGTTAAAAGCCCTTTCCCCTGAAACACTATAAGCAACAGAACTGTGTGCGCACACATATACATGCACTTACAGATAGCCTTTTAGTCCTATAATATATTCCTACTGAATGAAATACACACTTTGTATTTAATAAATGTTTTTAAAAGCACTTAATGGTTTGACAATTAAAACTCAAAACATTTCAACACCTTCAAAACATTTTCCACAATCATTACAATTTACAACATCAAAATACATATAGGTTCTAAAAACATAGCTCTGAATAGAAAAATCTACAGCTCAGAGATGTGCATCCATTAATACATACATAAAGTATGTATTCTAGAAACATTATTTAATTAGGCTGGAACAAGTTACAAACATTGTTTTAAAAGCAGGTCTGTAAATAAATTATTGTCTAAGCATTTGTTCAGAATTCAAACAAAGCAGATAAGGCATTAAAGCTCTTGCATATTTTCACCAAGATACAAGTTTTAACAAAGGTACTCTTGCCTACCAATTCATTGTAATGAACTTTCATTAACCAGGAATGTCTCAAGTACAGTTTGAAATAGGTACCACAGGGTGCAGACCTCTCAGGAGAAACTCGTGAGCTCTTGCTGAACAGCTGCTTTGTGATAACAGTGCTTTTCTTTCATGATAAAATACAGAATCTAAACACACAAAAAATGAAAGAAATCAAGGCTCACTGAAAATACTAACTTCCCTAACAGCTGCAGTCTTGAATTCTGAACAAGGAGCCTGTAGGGACTGCAGTTCAGCAGTACATGTTAAGCTATTTAAAACTGTTTTAGCAAACAATGGCAAATGTTCCTTAATGAAGACAACAGTTTCCTTAAGCTGACAGCAGAGATCTGACGTATCAGTATGTGATGGTCAAGATTCTAGGGAATAAAAATAACTGCAGATTTGGGAACAGAATCTCGTCCTTGAAAGCTGGAAGTTCTTCACCTTACAGATCGGAGAAATCTTGTAAGGGTTAATACCCTTCCAATCCCACTTACATAGGAGTGAAGGAACAACCTATGAACCAAGCACATCCAAACTCTGTATGGAGCTCAAGCACATTTTCCCGTTTCTGCTGTCAATCTCCAATTGTAAAAAGTTGTCCTGTTTATTTTCAGTTAGTTGGTTACTGCTCTGCTTTATTAGCCCAGAAGGTAACACAGAACACCAAGCTAAATATTATTTTAGGAATTAGTTGGCACCAGCTGCTACCAGACTCCTAAATTTTCAGTCTGTGTACCAATGTGGAGCATCTCAGCCCAGCACACGCTGAGCGAGACACTGGCCAAAGGGAGAGATCTGCCCATGACTCCCTTCAACCAAGTGGAGCAGCACATTGCATTTCTCTCTGTATAGAGCTGCATCCAATTGTCTTTGCCTGGTCAGAGTAACGTGGGTCCTTGCAAAGCAGAAATAGCTTTAAAAAAGACAAGTGTCCCAGCTGTACAGTTATATCCACACATGCACGTAGAACAGATGGCTACACCAGCCTATCTTGCTGTATGCACAGCCGAGCACAGTAAACACTAAGTACTGCTGAGACACAGAATGCACTTTCATTACAAACAAAATGCTCACCAACATTATACACACAAGGAGACCACACAGCGCATTTATACGATGCAAAACTGATGCTGCGAACACTGATCTTCCTGTGCCACAAAACTTTAACTACAGCGGAATTCAGGACATGACAAGTTCCACCCTCACCTTCATTGCTCTGATACTTTCAGTCATGCAACTTTATTTGTGTCTCAGAATCCTCACCGCTTTTACAGTTTGTATTTTTTTTTTTTTTTTTTACAATTGAACACTTTTCCTTTATCTGGGTTTTGTGAGTTTTGGCGGGTTGTTTTCTTTCTTTCATGTGGATTCCCCCCCGCCCTAAACCCCACAAGCACTGGCTAAGTATCAAAGATACAAACACACAGCACATCTCTCCTGCAGCAAAGGACCCTATCATCAAATAAGTGCACAGTACCATCAGACTTGACGTGTCAAGTTCTAAAGGTAAAACAAAGCTACTTCACTGTCTTGCTTTTTTATTATTTGTTTTAAAGACCCATTTTCTGACAATTACATGTCTATAAGGAACTTCGAGCAGCGTCATCTCATTACTGGCATTTGACAATATGCCTTAAATAGCACCTTAGGCCCCCACCAGGTTCTCTGTGGCTATTCCTTATGCAACCATCTCTCCAGAAAGGTTTGCAAGCTACAGCTTTAGGACATGAAGAGAGGGCTGCGGTATAGCACAGTGGGTATTTCACAGAGTTGTACTAAAAGGACGATCCAGGAAGTTGCTGCAATTTAGGTAATCCTAAACACCTCTGAGATTTATTCCACATATTTTCATGAGGTAATGCAGAAGAATAAGAAGTTACTTCAGTCTGCCATTTGTGCCATTCCTCAATCCTAAATGTCCAAGTGTCATGCAAAATTTTATTAAAAGATGCCACTCAGTCTCGTTCAAAGTCAAGCAGGCCAAAAGACAACGTTTAAATTGACCTCCCAACAACTCTGGTCCTAATTCACCTTGAGACATCACAACGAAAAGTAGCAGTTAAAAAAAAAAAACCAAAACAAAAAACAACTAATAAAGCAACCCTACCCAAAGCCTTATAAAAGGGATTTTCATTTTGTTTTATTTTCCTTTTTGTAAAGGAAGGAAGGTGGGTGGAAGAAGAAAGGATGTTTGGCAAACCCAGACAATTAGTTCAAGATTAGTGAACAAATGCTGAAGCTGAGGAAGCTGCCACTTCTCAATGGGGAGCTCCTAAACCCAGGGTCTCAGAAACCTGAAATACCACACTGTTTAGAAGTCTGTTGCATACTTAAAGCAAAGCCAAAACAACTGAACACAAGATTCAACTAAGTTTTCATCAATTAAATGCCATCAAGGAGATAAAGTATCTATTCAGTACAAGTATCTCCCAGCCTTTGAGCAGAGAAGAAAGAATTACAATGCTTTCTGCCAATACCATATTCTAAAATACAGGCTTAGCAAATTCAGCCTCCACAGTAAAGCAAATAATAATATAGCCCACCTGGCAATCAGAACAGGGCTAGAGACCATAGCAATACCCACTACATAACATGGTGCAACACCTGACACAGAGAAACAGGCCTGTGGGCCTGCTTTTATTTTTCAGTGGCTGATCCCCTTTCCAGAGCAATCAATCAGTCACACCAGCAAGCACTTCTGAGCACTCCTGGAGAGAAAGGAAAGCTGACACCTGTTTGGATACTGATGTGACTGAAGTTCACATTATACCTGTCCGCAACCAGCAGAACATCAATTCTAGCCCTGGAGTATGGTCTTAACAAAACCAGGACAAACTAGAGTGCAGGCTGACCACCACAGACGTTCTCAATCTTTTAGCAGGCACATGAAGAGAAGGGGGATGAAATTCAGACACCTTTTCACTTTACCCAGATATTAAGCCTCCACCTATGTTCAAAGGCCTTGTCTGTCCAGGAACCATTTAGGGTAATAGCAAAATGGAGGTGGGTACTCACATCACCTACTTAAAAGTAGCAAACCTCAGGGCCTCAGTTAGAGCTCTCCAGTCACCCAAAAATGGGATTCCTTTCCCCAGAGCTGGCCATTCAGAGGAGAAGACTCAACTTACACTTGGATGCTCCCCAGAGTTTGCCATCTTCCAGAGACTACCAGGGTCCTAATTTAAGCTACAGAAGTTAAACTCACGGTGAGGATGGTTAATTTAAAAATTAAATTTGAATTGCACAGCTTTTAGGTATTGCTATTTTCTTCTCTTTTTCATACCTTTACTGTATGAGAAGTATGTGCCTATGCAACTGTTTAGATCTACTACTAGCCATCAGTACGTACAGATGTGAAAATTTCCTGGAGAAGCAAATGTTAGACAAAATTAAGAATTACTTGTCATTTAAAACATTCAGTGTTTCGTTGCATTAGTCGTATTTAAGATGTTAAAGTGGATGAGCAAACCTGCCAAATCAACCTCCTCTTTCTCAATGAATCTTTGATGAGGTCCTAATACGAAGAATCCTAAAAATGGTGCTCCCAGACTCTGTATGCATTGAGATTAAAGCATTGAGAAAAAAAAACCAAACAAAAAACCTTCATGCTACAAATCTGCCAAAGTCACGAGGGAGCCTTTAAATATCTATGCACAGATAACAATAAATCAGAATCCAAACATCGGGCCAAACTTAAATTCACCGTATGAAACACATCATTCTTTGCAAATTGTTGGGAGTAACAAAAAAGGATCTGGCACGAAGTTGTTTGATTATTTTTTTTTTAACTAAGTGATACACAAATAGGAAAAAACCCCACATGGCTCAGACAACAGATCTATGCAGTTAACAGCCAAATGTTTTGACAAGTAAAACGAAAATAACTGCAGTGGACTGAAACACATACAACCCCATATGTACGTGTTAGTCATAAGACCAGAATGAAGAGTTCGAAAGACAGATACACCATCTGAAGAAGTGGGATATTTCTAAGACAACATTTGGAAAGAGCTATAGCACTAAACTTCCTGCATTCCAGAAACCAATACAAAAACTTCCCACCAGGGCACTGTAGAGCTAAAACTAGAGTTGCTGCAATATGGCAAAAAAAATATGTAATGACCTTTTATTAGAAGTAGGCGATTACTTTGTTTATTCTGATGTAAACATTTTAGTACTTATGACTATAATTTTATTAAAATTCACTCAAACACGAGCATCTTTTAAGTAGAAACACTAAAGATAATTCTTGTTTTAAAGAGAAAAATGTCGTAATATTAAATCTTGAAAATACACAAGGCTATAGAAACCAATATCATATTCATAGAATTTCTCTCTGCTAGCAGGACCTGCAGAAGTAGGTTTTAGATTGTTCCAGTAATTCAGCCCGTGCTTTTAGTGAGAATACACCAATTTAAAAAAAAAAAAGAAAAAGAAGAAAATAAAATGAATGAGGGAGGCAACAGAAGAACATTCTGTACATAGCAACATCTCTGAATAGTGACTTTTAAAAAAAGGATACAGAATGGTGCATACTTCTTATTTTGTTGAATCTCCTGTAGCTGTCAACTACATTAAACAAAGATTACACACTTAATGTCAAAAAAAGCTCTTTCACTTCAGCATTTGATTCCTCCAGGAAGAAGGGAGGGAGAGAAAGGAGGCATGGGGAGAAGAGGGAATTAGGCGTTAACTTACAAGTTATGCTGTCCTTTCCCCCTGTGTAATAATTAAATATTAAAGTCACAGTCTAGCAAATGCAAAATTTATTTCAACTGTACATAACAGATGTCCTTTTTATATAAAACAAAACACTTAATCGATATATGCAACCACAAACAATATGCATACTGTACAGTACAATGCAACATTCAGATATACATCCATTTGATATTTTCAAAAGGCAGTCACCCACTAAAGATGGCTTCTCCCATTCACAAACGAAGTGCACAATATATTTTTTTTTCCTATGCTTTACGTCACTATATACACATTACTGTGTTTTGGCAAGATTATGCAAAACACCCAATTGATATTGGTTGGTTTCAATTTATGGCAAATACTAATTTATGGAAACACTGCATAAGTCATGTGAAGAGGGGCTGACAATGGCTTGAACCTACCTTCTAATTCAGATTCTCCATCCTTCCAGTGTATTTGTAACTGTACACATATAATTTACAGAATTGCATAAACATAAGGTACTATTCATTACCATGACTGAAGTTCCACAAAAATAGAAACACTGAACCTTTGGACTGAATACCACCATTTCCACATTTGCTTTTTTGTTGTTGTTGTTTTTAACCCATGTTCCATTAATACTCCTGATCAGTTCACAACAGCTTATGGCCTGGAACACTGAAGACACAGAATGATTTTAAATGTGCGGTGATGTTAACATGAAAGATCCTCATTGTGATAATAGTTAATGACATAAATGCTACAATAATTAAATGGTGGTAAACTGTCAAAGCTTTGGTGCATAGAAAGTCAATAAAAATCTTCGGATCTGGATAACAAAACAATTTGTGCGATAAGGAAAGTTCAAGTGCAACAACTGTATTTCAAACTCATATTTACACTATATAACATGAAACTGACATAAAGAAAGTATTGTTTATCCAATGCAGAAAACATCATTCAACTAGAACACCACAGCTTAAGAAACAGGAAAAAAAAACAATCCATACTTCCCATATATGTTAAAAAAAACCAAAAACTGACTGAAAGGAAGAGGGGAGTGAAGTGGGTTACAAATGCGCTGTGGAATGGTATGGAGCACACGCACTTATCTCATTTCTCCAAGCAACGCTCCTCCGCTTTGAACAAAGTTCAACATGGACAAGTTCCCAGTCGTCATGGTAATATATGACTAGTAATATAGAATGTACCACTGAAAACCCTCCGTAGTAAGCACTGTTGCTCACATTATTGAATGGCAACAACAGCGAGAGAGGATAAAGCAGGTGATCAAACAAGACTGAATGCAAATCTGCTTTGAAACAGCTTCGCCACGCTGACCACCTCCTGGAGTCAGGCACGTGTAGCAACTACTGACTTTCTGATCATGTAACCTGCAGAAAGGCATTAATTATCTTTTAAACAGTCTGATTGAGTTCCCAGGAGGCAGTTAATGGCATCGTGATTATTGTGAATTTGTTCCCAGAGTAATACCTGAACACTGGATAACATGCTTACTTGGAAAGGGGTAAGGGAATTGCACCTGGGGAGCCTGGTGAAGTGAGAACTGTTTCTGTCCTTTTATCACATGCTTTTCCCTAATGCTGACACGAATTTAGAAAACATGTCGTTTTTGCTTGGATGCCAATTAGGCTGTCCACAAGACAGAACTCACACCCTTCACCCCAGCAGTGCCCCCAGGTGCAGGTTCGAGACCTTCAGCTGCGCACAGCGTGTCACAGGTCTCTGAAAAGCCAACACGGCTGTAAGTGAAGAGCTGCTGCTGCAAACAAACCTGCTTGTGAGAGAAGTCACAGGACACAACCAAAATCGGTCACAGACATGCTCCAAACAGTACAACCCAAAAGCCAAGCATTCTGTTGTTCAGAACTTCAAACAAGCCAAGGTGATCGCAGTTGTACCTAGAGTTTCAGATGCTGAACACTTGAGCCTCCATCATTTTCATCTCGTCTTTTCAAGAGGAATGGTCAAGTGAGAGCTGTCAGCTGTGTATTTTAACAGGCAAGTAAACAACTAGACCCTGCTTTCTGCCACGCTACTGCATACAGTAAAGTGACAGCATGACCACAAGTAACATGGGATTATCAAAACACTGCATGTGATGAGCATGGACTGCCAGGTTTTTATGACAACTGCCAGACTGGGGTGGGGGGACAGCAGTGTGGTCCTTCGTATAAACATCTAAGCAATGAGGGAAAGACTGCAGTATAAAAAGATTTTTTTTAATGGATTATAGCAGATGCTCTTCCACACAAACGGGCCAGATACGTGAATATCTGAATGATTTTACAGCTCTTGTACTGCTTATTTTTAAGCTGCATTTTTCTTATTCTACCAGCTTTTTATTTTTTGTTAGTAATATGTAGAAAATCCAATCGCTACCACTAAGGTATTTCCATGTTGCTGGCATTTGGCTCACAAACCAGTATGGTTTCAGTACAAAATACAAAAATGTGCTGTATCCAAAATAAAAAAGTAAATAAATAAATAGAAAATAGAAAAAAGGACCTGTTGCTACACTGACCAAGTCAAAAGAAAAAAAAAATAACCCAAACATTCAGAGCTACAAATTAACATCTGTCAGTTAAAAAAAACCAAAACTCAAGAAACATCATCCTTAACAGGATATACACTTTTCAGAATGACTTATTTGTACGAGTATTGTACTGGCAATAGAGCCTTCCACCAGGTGTAACTGAAGTTTCAGAAGCTCCCTCAGAAGTTGTTAAAATACCACATTAAAGAGACAAGGAACAGCAAGAAAACATCTAAGAAAAGCAGGCTGTGATACAACAAGCATTTGTTAAGAAAAAGCTCAGAAGTGCATTAGTTCTGGTGAGAGATATATGAGCAACAGCTCTTACGAGATGTAGACCCCATTCTGTAACTATGGGCTGTCCATATACTGTCATAGTCAGAGTCTTCTGAGAGGTCTGAAGGCTCCAAACGAGAAAGGCTACTGCGACGACCCAAGGAGTCTAGACTTGATTGGTCATCATCAGCCAAGACGTGATTATGCATCAGGTCAGTGCCTTGCCATGCTAAGGATGTACAGGTGGAATGGAATGGTGGATGTGGATAGGCAGAGGTGGGATGAGGAGGAAAACGTAAGGAATAGCCACAACCAAACACATGAAATAAAAGCAAAAAGGTGATGGGAAGAGAAGGAAAAGAGAAAATATTGTTAAAAAGGCACCAAAGTTTCTTTATTCTTTTTTTCTTTTTTTTTCTTTTTTTTGTTTCTTTTTTTTTCCTCCTTTTGTCTTTTGTTTTTTAGTTTGTTTGAGGTTTAGGTACAAATCACACTCAGCACATAACAACTTTTGAACTGTTACAATACAATTTTTGAAGAGGTTTTTAAGGTTCTAAACAGCCTCAGTTAGTTGAGAATTTTGAATAACCAAAATTTTGCTCAAAAGTAGATTTTTTTTTTTTTTTGGAAGAGGGAACTTGGTTCTTTTGCAGTATGGAGTCAGTTCTGGTCTGGGGGGGATTTGACTGGGGACAGAGCAATAAACACAGTAAGCCAGCATGATCCAGCGCTGATATGAGAAGCAACAGCCCCTTCCCCACCACACGTCTGTACCTCCATCCTTTCCCTCCCTTGCAATGACACAGTCATTTGTATGGCTGCTTGGTGACCGAGCTCAGGGAACGGTTTCAGATGAAAGCTAACCCTACAAAAGAGTCTTTTTCAAGCAGGTGATTTCCCCACCAGCTCACAACGCAGCCACAGAAGTGCTTGTGTCACCACTGTAAAGAGGAAAATGCAGGGGAAAAAGCAAAGGTTCTCATGCAGAGCAGGGCTGCTGACTTCCTAAATCAGCAGCAACACCTCACACCCACTCAGGGGGACTGTCAAAGTACAGCTTTTCTGTGCCTGTACCCCTCATTACTTGTTCAACCATGTAGTAAGTTACCTCACAGAGTAACAAGGCCCAGAGCTAGCAGCAACAACCTGGTCCATTACAACTCCTCACGCACCTCTTCCTACACACCTCTATCTGAATATATCTTCCCAGTTAAATACTTTAAGATGTCTAGGGTAGTTGTTTAAACAGCTAAAACAGCTAAGGGCACTTTTTCTTCTTTTAAGTAAGTGGCCATGCTATGAGCCACTACGCACATGCTATTGCAGAAGACTTTAAGCCTTCACTTGGAGCAGAAATGCAAAATCAACCCAGTATATAAGCAGCAGGAGAAAGTGAAACTCTGTTCTTTCATTTGCATGTCTCCCCAAATTAAACCCCACATCTTCCCCATCCAAACAACTGAAAAAAGTTACTCTTTTACCTCTAATGCCACTCCCTACCAGTCTGCACTGGTGCCA